GCGCCAGGAAAATCGCCGTCGGCAGGAAGAAAACCACCGTCGGCACGAGGAAAATCGCCGTCGGCAAGAGCAGGAGGCAAAAAAGAATACCGAAACGAAAGAAAAAAATGTAATTTAAATCACTTTTATTAAAATTTTCAAATAAATTAATACATTCTTTTTTAATTTTTCAGAGTACCCAAAACAAGAAGAAACACAATTGTAAGTATTTATAATCTTATTTATTTAAATATTTGTATGATATTTACATATATATTTTCACTAATTGCAGATTTCCAAATGAAACGCAGACTAGAACAACAAGATCTAGCAAAAAAGAATCAATAAATAAATAAATAAAGAAATCATTACATACATTTTATTATTATTTAATATATTACATTACATTGTTATATAATTTCACGTCCGCGGTGCAAACCGCTTTAAAAAATAAAGTTTTAAAAGTAGAAGAATTACTACAAATAAGTGAAAACCAAGAAGGTTTTAAAAAGGTGATAACAATTATAAATCACAAAAAAAAAAAAATAGATTTCCAATAAAAAATAATTTGAAAACCAAGAATAAAATTGTTCGGATCGCCAAAGAGCTAAGTTTTTAATTGTCTATATTATTATCCCACAAAATAATGCATTACATTATAGTACAGTGAAATTCCTTATAACGGACAGTCCTATTAACCAGACAGCTTCAATAGCCGGACAAATTTTGTGAACATAGGTTTTTCATTAATTTTTTTTTATAAAATGCATTCCAATAACCGGACGCGGACACTATATTTCAAACTATTTTGATCAAAAAATCTCTCATAAACGGACAAAATTCAAACAAATACCGAACCTGTTTTTTAAAAATCTGGAGTTCCCACAAAACAAATTCTGTTTGTATTTTTGTCAAGAATTATGTGGCGGCCATATAACATCTCTGCCCACACATGTCAACATCAAAAAACAGATAATCAGCTGTCAAATAGAGGGCAATTTCTTCATTTAGTTTGTTAAATAATTTGCATTTAGGTTGCGTGTATTTTTAAGTTGCAAGTGATAACATGGCACCAAAAAAAATGTACTATCCATTAAAGAAAAAATGGAAATTATTAACGTGTTCGAAAACGAAAAATTGTCTGTACGTGAAATTGCAAAAAGGTAAATTTTAAACCCATAAAAAATGAAATTTTGCACAATTTTTTGTTTTCAAAAGTTTAATATTGGCAAAACACAAGCTGTAGAAATCAATAAAAATAAAGAAACAATTCGTTCTAGATGGGAGTCTGGAGTTAATGTTCATCAAAAGCGAAGTTTTCTTAAAGAAGGTGGCTCTGAAATAGACAAGATATGTTTTGATGTGGTTTGCTAACATAAATATTGTTTTTTTGCCTCCAAACACAACGACAGCAATCCAACCTCTTGATCAAGGAGTAATCCAAAAATTTAAAAATTTTCTATAGGACCTTACTTTTAAAACACTTGCTACGTAAAATCGACACTACAAGATTAGCTTCAGAGCTGGCGAAATCTATTAATGTACTTGAAGCTGTTTATTTCCTTAAAACATCTTGGGATAAAGTAAAAGCAACAACAATCCAAAATGGGTTCTGTAAAGCAGGATTTTCAAAATGTGATGAAAGTTTTTCCGATTTTGATCCCGAAGATGACATTCCACTGGCACTCTATGCTAAATTTCAGGAAGGACCTGACTCGGCGAATGATTTTGATGATTTTCTCAAAATAGACAGAAAGGTCTGCACTGAAGATAACAATATCGAAATTCAATTTGAAGAGCATAACGATAAAATGAACATAAGTGATTCAGAAGAAGAACCTAATGAAGAAATAATTGAGCCCATAACATCGTACGATGAGGCGTTAACACTTGTTGCACGTTTGAAACAATTTGCCAAAAATGACTTCGTAGCTTTTAAACACATCAAAAATATCGAGTCATTTTGAAAATGAGCATTTTAAATTAAAACAATCAATGCTTCAGCAATCAATCATTATAAAATTTTTCCAACCAAAATAGTATTGATATGCAAAAACTAACATATTTTAACATATTTTATTGACACATGTAACAATATGTATGTATATATAATATTTATTATAAAATAATAACGAATTTACACAATATATTAAATAAACGACAATTTAATAATAATTTTTTGTAGTCTTTCCCATAAGCGGACATCTCCCATAACCGGACAAAAACACTGCGACGGTGAGTGTTCGGTTATGAGGAATTTCACTGTATTATAGTACAATATATTCTGAATTATATTAATTATTGTTTTAGGATAATTTTACCCAATATTTATTAGATTTACATATTTAGTTGTTGTACAAACGCATTTGCATTTTGGTTACTTCTTTTTCGTAAACAAAAATAATTGCTTGAAAATAGTCAAGCAATTTCAAACCCAGCAAATTAAACATCAGTTAATATTAATTACTTACATGTTTATGTTTCTTACTTACGAAATAGTAAATTTAGGTGTTAAAAAAATTTTCTATAATTATTCTATTATTGCAAAAATCACTGCATTATTAGTGTGATGGTCTAATAATGGGTTTTAGTAAAATTATTCAATAATTTAGTGTTTATTAAAATCATTATTATATTCTAAAATTTTTTGATCAATTTTTTATATTTATAGACAAATTTTTTAAAACAATTAAAAGCGTAATTTCGAACTTTATTGAATTTATTTAATTATAGACAATTTTGTCAAGTCATTATTTAATCACCTTTTGTGTGTTGATGCATTC